TAATACTACAATGCCGATGTTGACAACAACAGCTTCCTGAAGTACGAGCATACAGCGGACAATGCCGCACGCTTCCAGCACCAGGTATGTCTCTCGCAACACTCACAACCCCGATCCACACCACACAGATGCCACTAGCACCCAAGGACCACCCTGCGTCACACCCAGCTCACAGCGGAGCAGCTCGGCTATGGCTGCCCGCTACTTCCTGCTTGCCCGTGAGAGCGTGAGTGCCAGCCAGCCAGCAAATAGCGCAGCAGCGCTCGCGCAGCATGCAGCCAGCGCACCCGAATACCGAATGAGGAGGCAGGCCCTTCCCTATATCGAAGTGGCCTGCCTGCGTCCAGTCCAGGAAGCTTCCAATAGGCCCCGGTAGGCACAGGCCCAGACCTCACACGCAGGCCCGGGCCTGATGGTTGCATGTGCCCAACTGCCCTTGGCCTGCTGACGGCCTTTCCCCCGTGTCTGGCCCAGGTCCCCATTCAGATACATTTGCAAAATATGGCCTGGGCCTGGGTGCCTTCAACCAACTGGCGCAGCGCAACTGTCTGAATTTCACCAGTTGCGGGGTACCCTGAAAATCGAGGTCTTGAGGGCCTGTCGCTCCTGCCTTCACTTAGGGCGGCCGACATGCCGCAAAAAGGGCCCCGAAGGGGCTGAGCGGGCGTAGCCTCGCAATGAAAATTAGAAAAAATAAAACGAGAATGAAATTATTGAGTGGGCGAGCACGTTTTTGGCACCGCCATCTTTGGCGATATTTCTTTTTTTGTTGGCTGTGACAAATGCCATGAAAATTTTTATATGTGTATCTTACATAATAGAGAATCTAGAAATAAAGTTTGAAAAAATAATAATTTTTTTCGTGCCCCGAAATAAAGGAAAAACAAAAAGTGAAAAGAGAGAAAAAACAAATTAGTGAGTGGGCAAGCAAGTTTTGACACCACCATCTTTGCCGATTTTTCATTTTTGTTTGGCTGAACAGAATGGCTTCAAAATTAAGGAGAAGATACCTTACATCACAAAGAACGCACGAAAAAAATTTCAGAAAAAAATAATAATATTTAGGTGCCCAAATAATTTTTGGCGGTGTCCGAACCCCTTCAGGTTCGGGCCCCATACGGGGACCCGAACGCCCGAACGTTCGGGGGTCTGCTTAGGGGCCTCCGTACGTTCGGCCTGGCAACCCTGTATATATAATATATATATATTATATAGGGTTCAGCCTCCTGATGAGTCGGTGAAACTCCGACGAAACAGTTTGCCACAGCCCCTCGTTTGTTGTCCTCTTCTCCTCTTCTCCCTCCCTCTCTGCCTATGGTTTACTGGGAAGCTCTGTTTGACTATATATAGTCAAACAGAGCTGCCTCTTCTCCCTCCCTCTCTGCCTATGGTTTACCGGGAAGCTCTGTTTGACTATATATAGTCAAACAGAGCTGCCCTGTAAACTGTAGGGAGAGAGGGAGAAGAGGACAACAAATGAGGGGCTGTGGCAAACTGTTTCGTCAGAGTTTCACCGACTCATCAGGAGGCTGAACCCTCAACAGTCTGCAGAATCCCCTAACTGATTACACTGTAAGTGATAATCCACCTTAACCCCGACTGTGGTTAAGCATCAACGATTGCCCGACAACCGATACCCTGAGGTGGGCACCAACCACTGCCGTCAAGGTACCTGTGGCAATAGTCAAAGCAGACTATCACTCACCCACGCCAGATGGAAAACTCTACAGACTGTCGGTTCACACCCCATCACAAGCAAGCAAAACACCCACGAAACAAAGAAAGGTCTGTCACAGCCAAAAAATACACTCCAGACACGCCTCTGGCACTAGAGGCACAACATGGCCGCGTAGTGCCGGCCCCGACCACTGCTGCTCAACCTGACTGGAGAATACCGTAGCAGGGTGCTAGCGAAGTCGTGGTATATATAGTCAAACAAAGCTGCCCGGTAAACCGTAGGCAGAGAGGGAGAAGAGGACAACAAACGAGGGGATATATATATATCGTCACAAACAGAACTGCCCGGTAAACCGTGGGCTGTTATGGCATACGGGGATGGGGGCAGCTCGCGCTCAACTTCATCAACGTGGCGAGCCTTCCACGTGAGAGGCACAGTGGAGGTGGAGTTCAAAGAAGAATGAGAAATTTAATGGTTTCAATCTGCCCTTGTTTTTTCTTTTTGTTTTT